GTCTTTGAGGTCTTTAATAAACTAGTGGTAGATGATCAAAGAGAGACACTGACTTCTCTATTCTTGGAGACAGACATAATCAGCTTTGTCTCCCTTTCTGTCCACTTTTCCTAAATGATCAGTATTTGCGATGTCATGTCCTTTCATGTACTGATGCTGATGTTGAAAGGGCTCCTGGGGATCGTGCAGTTTGACCCCTTCTCTTCATGCAAGAGGGAAGCTAAGTTACACTGTGGTGAAGGGACCTGCCAAGTTTGCAGAGAGTGAATGTCAGAGCTGGCTCAAACCCAAGTCTTTGGGGCTGTCTATGCTCCTATTTTTTCCCTGAGTCTTCACATTTTTGGAAAAGTTGGGATGAGGCAAGTAAATGCCAAATTCCGTAATACATGTGCTCCATATCTGGGCTCTAATTCTTGTCACTTTCCAGCAACCCATTAACACCCCCTGTGGTATAAATTTTAACACTTGTTTTTCTGTGCCCACCCTCCTCTTGGAAGCTTGATATTTTAGAAAGAGACTATTTTAAAAAGGCGAAATAAATTATTCTTAATGCCACTAAACTTGACACTTAAGAAGGTGAAAATGGTATTTCACCATTTGGGGAGCTATTATTTTACCAAACAAAAATTCCCCTTTCTTATTTCAGGAGACTTCTTAGTGGTGTTTCTGGTGTCCCATTCCTTTCTTCCACTCCACCTGTGTACAGTCACTTAGGTAGCTGGTAACTTTCTTAATTTATTGGCAGGATAACCTCATTAGCAGAATCTCAACTTCAGACCCGCCAACAAATTAAGAAACTGGAGGAGCTGCAGCAGAAAGTTTCCTATAAAGGAGACCCCATCATACAGCACCGGCCAATGCTGGAGGAGAGAATCGTGGAGCTGTTCAGAAATTTGATGAAAAGGTAATTCAGAATCCTCGTCCCTTTCCCTCATCTGCCTCCCTCCCCCATAAAAAGAAAATCCTGTCCCGAAGTGAGAGGCGGAGGCGGCTGACTTCAGAGGAGGGACAAAAGCTACGGGGGCACTAGCACGTGACTGGTTCTTTCCCCTTCAGTGCCTTCGTGGTGGAGCGGCAGCCCTGCATGCCCATGCATCCCGACCGGCCGTTGGTCATCAAGACCGGTGTCCAATTTACTACTAAAGTCAGGTAGGCCATGGCACTTCCCCTATTTGGTAGATACTTCATTGAGGGACACTCGTAGGGCAAGAGCACAGTCGGTGACCAGGGTTCTTCCCAAGTGTCACAGGCAGTACTGTTGCGGGTATAGAATTTTCTGGCATAATATTGACTTGCTCTTTGATCCTAATGTCAAAAACAAAAGAACAGTAATCTTTCCGAGGCCACATGGGCATCTTCGTGAGATTCCAGGCCTGAAGTCTTAGACTTCAGCTTTTCCTCTACTCTAGGGGCAAAATAATATGTGGTTATTTTCTGATCTTTGAGCCTGCTTTTCCCAGGGCAAGTGGGTGGTGGGACTACGGGGCGACGTGTTACTTTTACACTCACGTCAGAACAGGTGTGCTGGGGTTTTGCCCTTCTGCAGTGAAATTTCCCTTTTCAGAAGCTTAGCATGGGTTTGGGTTTCAGGTTTAATAGAAAAATTGTCTGGTACAGAGCACGTGTTCCTGTAATATTTTTCATTAAATGGCTCTTATTACCCGTTCACAAACGGATTTGGGGCTTTTTTTTTTTTTTCCTCAATGCCTTTTGGCCTGAAGTGGTTATGTTCAACTTGATGTCAAAGATGACATTGGCGGGAGGAGGAATTTAGGATTGTCATTTATTCACCTTTTAAAAATTAAGAATTATGAATTTTATGTCTTTAGCTAGAGATTATCGGGGGAGCCTACTGACTTTTTTTAACTGGAATTTTTTTGTTTTTTTTAAAATAGGTTGCTGGTCAAATTCCCTGAGTTGAATTATCAGCTTAAAATTAAAGTGTGCATTGACAAGTAAGTACTCCTAA